CGGTTGCAGCATGGTGTTTTTGAGGAGTCTTAGGAGGTGGTCAAGAGATAGTCACATGAAGTGCCCAGGGAATGTCATGCATGCGACACTCCAATAGCCCAGCCACACGAAAGTCTTCATGTTCAGGAGGAAAATCATCTCTAAATGATGGAAGTTCCATTGCAAGGCTAGGTTGCTGATGTATGGTGGATTTTTTACGGACTTCTACTATTCCTGTTTCCTGCAGCCTCACTTGCAGAAAAACGGATTGTAAACTGCGCTTTTCTTGGCCCACACCACGATCTCTGGCTTTTTCTGCCCAGTCCCCCACTGGGTTCCCAACCATTTCAATCGGAGTGTCAGGCCTTTCGAAATTTTCGCCTTTTCGTCTGGCCTTTCCGCAGCAAACGCTTCAAAGAAACCACAAAAATCAGATCCGCTCAAATAGATCTGCTCTGTATCTTTTAGGTACATCCATTTACATTATGTGCCTGTTCATGCTTACAAAATATGATCAGTTTTAGATATATTTAGATTGATCGATTTAGATTTAGATCTATTTAGATCTATTTAGATCTATTTACAGTAGATCTATTTAGATCTATCTCTCTCTCTATATATATACATATATATATATATAGGTGTCAGGTCACCCTGCCCTAGCTGTGCTAAGAAGCGAGAAACAGGCACAAACAAAGTGTCGAAGCGCCAAGAGCACGCACCCGTATGGTTGAAATATGTTGAAATCACAGTTGACTGCTGGCATCTGTACAAAAAATTGCGGCATTCACTGGATCTATACCTTTTGGTAATTTGAAATCACCGTGCAAAATGGGTGAAATGACCCATTTTTTGACCCATTTACAAATGGTGGATCCATTTATCAAATGATTTAGCTATTCAAAAATGGTGGATGTGGTGGATGTTGAAGGTCCTCCTCTTCCCGGGCGAGCTCAAAGACATCCTGCCATCGGATTTGTGGATTTGTCGTGGCACAAGTGTATCAATCTTTCTCTAAGATGATCTATTTAATGCTATGTTGATGTTTGGTTGATCTCTTTCGCCATTATGATGTATAAATCATAATGGCATCAAGACCAATGGAAAGGTTTATGGATTAAATTTGATTAAATGATTAAACCCTTCACACCCCTCCAGCTCCAATTTGCAAACAAATGACCAGATTGGCTACTTCGAATGGCACCCAGGGCGGCTGTCCTGGTTCAGTGTTCCGCCCTTCCAGCGTTCCTCCAACTCTGTTGGGAATGGACGACTGAGCCTCAGGGAGCTTAGGGCCTCCCCGGAGTGCTGGTGCTTGTGTGATCTCATGCGCTGGTATGCCTCTGTAAATTGTGTACTTTTTAGGAACTACCCTGGGTGGCTTTGGATTACCATTTGGTCATAAGGTTCCCAACTATTTGGCAGGTCATGCCGCTAGCCTTGCTGCTCCGCGAATACAAACGATATCCCATGAGCTTCTCGATTCCCATGGTCACTTGGCTACGAGCCCATTTTGTCCAACCCTTGTGCCCGTTGTTATTCTTGTCGTTGTTGTCTTACTGCTATTCTTGGTCAGGATTGCACCAGGGCCAAATTCTTGCTCGCTAACCAAACCAATTGAAACCCATCTGTGAACTTTTCTTACATGTATTGTGCAGTCAAGGTCAGCCAAGATGCGCGTCATATTTGACACAATTATCATATGGAGATGCATTTGACAAAAGTGTGGATGTTTGATACCTGGATAACCTCATAATCGGATTGTTTCGCAGCGTTTGGGGTAGACCAATCTTATGGGAACATTAAGGAGCATTTTCCACTTTTAAGGCGCTCTTTCTGGCACCTCAACTGAAGGTACCTAAAATATGTAATGTAATGTCACGCGAGATCCTTTAGACAGAAACAAATCCGTGTATGTGTATCTGTACATGTTCAGTTTCCTTTGTTTTTCCATTCATTCATTTATTTAGCCTTATAGGTTGCTGAGAATGTCCACATCCAAACGCATAGATAGAGAGATACACACCAATCTATATCTGTCTAGGTACGCCATAGGTATAGATATAGGCACATTTGTTTATTTATATACTTATTTATCTACTTATTGATATCTATATATATATACATGGATATATAAATGTAAATCCTTCCTTCCATCCATCAATCCGTCCACCCTTGACCATACCGAGGTGCTGATCGACCTTGGAGGGCAATGCCTTGACGTACGGCAGCTTTGGCTTCTGGTCCTCGCCCAGCGGCAAGATTTTTGGGCCAAGGATCAGCTGATTGGTGTGCTGCAGGTGCATCCTGCGAAAGTGGAGCATTAACCTGACAGATCTGACATAAACATCAGCTTCTTGTCCGACAGAAAATGTCAGTAGATTGCAATCAGGCACTCGTGTCTTGCAAGCAGTCCCTTTCGTATTTTGCAAAGTTTCCCTGTGTTGGAGTCTGTGTAAGTCCCTGCAATATTGATAGGGCAGCCAAATTTCACCAGAATTGTCAACACCCAAGCCGGCCGCCATCCTCGAAGAAGAAGTCTTTATCATCCTGATTCTTGGGTTTCTTCAGATTGGTCAGCTTCACGTCTTTCTCCTTGCCCTCTGCAGCTAAAGCAGCTAAGTCTACCTTCGGCAGTGCTGCCTGTCAGGTGAAAGCGGGAATGCGCATGCTGCATCTATCCAGTCACCAAATGTGGAGGCTGCATCGCTAACTTATTTCATCTTACTTCGCTTAGAGACGCTTGAGACCCTTGGGCGCTCCCAGAAATACTGGGACTCCCCTGCAGTCGCCTGAGAGGACGATGAGGGACGCTCTTGTCGCTGCACCCAAGCGGCCACCGCGGCCACAAAAGCCTCAAGCAGTGCTACCCGTTTTTTATTATGACATATGGGGTTTCCTGCCAGATTTTTTACAATAATGTGGGTAAAACAATAATAAACCACCCATTTGGGAATGGTTTATACCACCTACCAATCCATTCTGGGATGCTGATATCTATCATCCATGTCCTTCTGTCATCAGCACAACCTTCTCCAACTCAATCACCAAGTTGGGAACGCTGGGGGGTTTACGGACAGCTCAGAGATGGCACCAATTCCAGGACCAGACAAAAACCATGCACTCTCAGGGTTCTGAATTTTCCAGGGTTAGGATTTCTTCAGCATTTGTCCCGGGTTTTGAATTGTTTTTTCCACGAAACCTAAGAGTTTTCTCTGGCATCATCCTGCTGTATATAATACTGGTTGGTTCGGCCCATCCCCAAAAAGATACCTCAAGGAGGTTCATCATCTCAGGTAAGATGCAAATTCGAACATATTAGAAAGGAAATGTGACCATTATATCATATCCCACATCTTGTGGCTTGGTTCCTCATTCGTTATAGTAAATGCCCTATTTGTTATTGTTAATTCCCTATTTCTGCTGGCGAATTCCCTATGTTGGATTCAGCACGGCCTCCAGGGCAGGCATAAGCGGTGGCTGTGAAACAAAACCTGCCAGGGCGCGGACAATGCGCTGTGGCGAAGACAAAGATCTCGAAAAGGCAAAGGTAGTTTTTCCAATATAGAGATAGAACCCAACTAAAATAGAAAATGTGTCATCTTACACAAAATCCTACTGTATAGTACGGAAAACTGACTTTTCTATCTTTGTCGGGGCTGCTTGAAGCGCGACGGAAAATCAACGATGAAGCATGGACTATACCAGCCAAATATATAATTTTCCCTGGGAACGGTCCCCAGAATGATTTGGGGGGTTATTGGGAAGGTTCCTGTCCAACGGAGACTTACCTCCATCAACTATGATGATTTGGGTGCTTTCCAACTACATAGGAATATGGGGAAGGTTCCGGTTCACAGCTGTTGATCGGCCAGGGCCAGGGGTTATCAACCTTACGTTGACATTATGGATGATTTCTCAAAGCTTCAGCATATACAGACAAAGCACTTGGTATCCCACTTGGATGTGGGGCAAATTCAAAAGCAAGAGCCTGTGAAAAAGGGATGGTTGAAGCCAAGAATGACCTACGGTACATCTGTGATCTCTGAAGTATGCAGTTGTGACCCAGTATCCATTCAAAAAAAATGCCCTTTCGACCATACCATCAGAACCAAACTGACCCCGCGTAGCCAGGGCACCTGTAACATTCTTCGGTGGCATTGGCTTCAAGTGCTGTGCCATCATCGCACCTTGTGGCCTGACGCGGTGATCATTTGCCACTTGGCATCACCCAAATATTTATTTTAGGTATGTATTTAAATATATATATATATATTGTACAAATATATACAAATCTATATTGTACATCTATATTTATATCTATATCTAATATATATCTCTATCTATCTATCTATCTATCTATCTATCTCTCTCTCTCTCTATCTATCTATCTATCTATCTATCTATCTATCTATCTATCTATCTATCTATCTATCTATCTATCTATCTATCTATCTATCTATCTATCTATCTATTCATCCATCCATCTATCCATCTATCCATCTATCCTATCTATCCTATCTATCCTATCTATCCTATCTATCCTATCTATCCTATCTATCCTATCTATCTATCTATCTATCTAATCTAATCTAATCTAATCTAATCTAATCTATCTATCTATCTATTGCCAAAATTTGGAGATCTCAGTCTCATCCACACTCCAAGTTGGGCTGTACCTGCCCAAAACAGCCGAGCCGTGGACGTGAGAGGCAAGTTGCTAAAATTGACCTCAGCGATGAAAAAGGGAATGGAATCGAAGCAGGGAAGTTCCTCATGGCCCGCAACCTGCACCCAAGCTCCACCGCCATCGAAAGATGCCAACTGGGCAACTTTTTGATGCTCTGGTGGCTCACTTCTACGAAGGATTTGTACTGGCGAACCCCAACCCTTTGGGGCTGGGGCGGAGCACCCTCTTGTGGATGTCTAGTTGGCTCAGCCCCCTTTAGGGGCTTGAAGCCTGCAGTCAAGCTCCAAATTCACTCAGTTTTTCTGTCTAAATCGTGAGATCATAACTTAAACATCTGGGAACTTGACTGTGCTCTAAGGAAGTGAAAACCTACAAATTGTCGCACCTCACCTGCCAATGTATCCAGGTTGTGTGGTGGGCCCCCGGCCGCTGCATCCATAGAGGAAGCGGTCCCGCATGTTTCGGATTTGTCCCGGCAGTCGGTCACAGAGAAAGGCATGGATCTTCTCATGAGCTTCGGGATATTCATCGCAATAAGGAGCCTGCACTGTGAAAGCTCGTGTCACATTTGCTTCAAGTTCAATGCTTTAGAGGTCACGCTTTATTTACTTTAACTTTATTTATCACGGTGACTCCCAAATAAAGTGGCTGAAGCAAGCCATTTTTTGCGGGTTACACCATCAATAAATCCTTAAACCTCCCCTGTCAAGTTCCCCCCGATGCGTGTCCTCAGAGTAGGCTTGGATCCCAATGCGTCCGATGGCGTCCACAAAGGCCTCCTGGGTCAAATATCCTCAGCACCGCAGGTGTCGACCGTTGTGTGATCTCCATGGTGCCACTGTGGATGGCAATGGGGTCCCTGTTCAACAAGCTGCTCAGCACCATGGCGCAACGGCAATATAAATAAATAAATAAACAAATAAATAAATAAATAAATAGATATATATATATATATACATAGTGCCTATATGTATTGTATGAAATATGACAAGGGACGGCGTCTTTCGGGTTTGAGAACCCCGGGAGCTCGATGAATCAGAGGGATCTCTTCGTTCCAACTCATCCCCTTTACCCTCCACATCATAAAATTGGTTCTGTTGGGGATCGCAACCCATTAGGGAGGTATACAGCAGAAACACAATTTTGCAGCAGAAACATGGCCAATGGAAACTTCCTTGTGCACATCCATTGACAATTGCATTCCATATCGCCAGTTTATTGCCAACAGGTAGTATTCAACCAGTTAATCGATTGCCAAAGAGTCCAAAGTTGCTCCCTGCGTGCTGACTCTGCGATCCTGCACACTGCGCACGTTTGAAGATCCTCACCACTGCCTGCCGGCTGATTGTCTCCTTGGCGCCAAACCACGCTGAAATCGCTGGAAGAATGAAAATAGGACCATTTCCCTATCATTTCCCAGGAAAAATGCGGGGTCCAGTCCCATGTTTCCCGGGTCCATCTTAGCTCTCAAGAGCATATCTCACAGGTAATTCCAGCCATATTCATGGTAACAAAGCCCTACAAATGGGAGAACAATTCGCTATCAACTCTATTGAGGCCCTGTTTGCCACTCCTCATTGGATGCCAGGGATATGGCAGAAAAGGAATGAATAATCCATGTGGCGTTGCTTCCCATCGTTTGTAAAGACATTTGCCTCAAGAAAAAACAATGGAAAACAAAAACTGGCTTACGAACACTGCATAGGCACTGCCCTCCCAAAAAAAAAAGTCCGTCCGTGCACGGTTTTAGCAAGACGAGCATCCGGCATGATCTTGAGTTCCTTGCACAAGGCAAAGAGCTGATCCAAGGACATGTACTTCCTGCGATTCTTCAAGGTAGGACTTCCACATGCGTAGGTGTACGGATCGTTGGCCACGGGACTCCACTGTCCTGTCCTTGTACCCATGGACACCTGAGACTGGTGTTGAACATCCTCCAACAGCAAAAGTGGGTAAAGAGGGACTTAGTTGAACTAAGTTGCATTGGATTTACAACATCACCAACCAACCAACCGGCCAACCAATCGGCCAACCAACCGGCCAACCAACCAGTTTTGGCCACTTCTCGCCTTGCTTCCAGGACTCATGGAACTGTTGAAATAGCCCAAGTTCTCGGCCCAGGCCATCAGTGACTGCCCTGGCATGCGACTGCCGCGAGTGGTGCCAACCTCAAATCCCATGGCATTCTGTGGCAACATCGGCTGTGGACTCGTCTTCTTCGGGGATGCCACCTGAGCGGGGTTCCCTTTGCTCGGCCCCAATCATCAAAACAAAATGCAAGTTTCGATGCCCACGTCGCCATCAGTTAGGATCATTTGGTATAAAACAATTTGCCAGAAATTCTGGCCTTAAATCCACCTTCATGGTAAATCAGATTCAATCGCCCATGTGACACCCTGAGCTCCGAAAAATCCTGGATTCTCCCCAGAGATATCACCAGCAACCAGAGATATCACCAGCAGACCTGATGTGGCAGCTGCGTCTCCTCGGCGCTGCCGGGTGAGACGGGCTCGTGGCCATGGTCCTCCGCCTCGCACTCGGTGACGGCCGGCAAGGCACCGGGGCTCAAGGTTTCCTCCTCAGGTAGACACAAGGGGTTCGACCCAGTTCTGTGGTGTCTGCTGGGTTGGGAACCAGCATGTATGTTACTGTATGTTTGTTTATCTAATTGGTGATTTACTATGATTTACTGATTCATTGATTGCCTGATTGATTGATTTGATTGATTCGATTGAGTGATCGACTGATTGATTGATTGATTGATTGATTGGTTGGTTGGTTGGTTGGTTGTTTGATTGTATACTTTAATTGATTGCGCAAATTGATTGATTGGCTTGGATGGATGGATTTACTGATTGATTTGCTTCTTTATCTTTAATCTAATTTATTTGTCTATATATGTCTTTGTTCATTTGTTTGTTTATTGTCTGATTTGCCCGATATATATATATATATATTCATATATGCATAGGGAGATACAGAGATAGATACAGAGATAGATATTATATGTTTCAGCCAATCGTAGAACAAATGCGCACATAGTCATAATCAAAACCACCAACCACGTCTCCATGGTTCCCTTTAAAACTCTAGGAAATGATCAAGATTTCTCTTTGCTCATCAGTCTCACCTTTGCACCCACATCCCGGCAAGCAGGATTTAGTGACTTAGTACTGTTTTCATCCAATGGGTACCAGTGCAAATAGGACAAACCTGTCCACCCATCCCTCCCCAGCAGCCCCACCTCCTCGTCTTCGGGCGCCTCATCTTTCAAGGTGGCGCCCAGCATGCATGAGGAGGCGCGAGAGGCAAACATCGTGTCCTGTTCCGAACCAAGGAATTCCTCCAAACCACTTTTTGGAACTGAAAAAATGAGTTGAAAGATGGTAACATGGAAGATTTAAACATCATTGCAAGCGAGGCTTAGTGCCCATCAGTACCAAAAAACAATTGATGTTGGAGAGGCTCACCAATACTTAATCAGGAGGTTAGGTAATAGTTTGGTGGCCAAGTCACCTGGAACCCAAACATTTGGTGAAAGGGGGTGGAATTAACCCTGATTCATCAATTAAGCCATAGTGAGTGACAAATGACTATAAAAGATGGCGGCCCCCCATACTGATAAGCCAAGGGTTACTAGTCCTGGGCTACATTTGCAGACGGGGAAGTGTGGTAGTTTTAATAGTATTTTAATGGGGAAATCATCTAAAGGGGGTGTTTTTAACATGGCAACATACCGTAGATCTCTCGTCACTCCCCCTGTCCTGCGTCTGCTTCCAGATGGTTCTCTCCTTGAGCCGGGTGGTACCCTGTCCCACCTTGGCATCTGTGGGGCCACGCAGCTGTCGCCGCGCGAAGGAACGGAACAAGTTGTGCAGTTTGGGCTTGAAATGCTCCAAGACCAACCTGATGCAGCTTGGTCAACGGGAAATTGATGGAAATTGGTGGAAAGTGGATGAAAGTAGTGTTTTGCTTCGAGCACCTTCGGTTGAAAACTATTTTTGATGGTGTTTACCTTTTGACCACCAAGAACGAGGGAGTATTGTGGGGCTGGAATGTCCCAGAAAACGGCATGGATTCGTCCGAAATTTTGGTATACACTGTATACACCTAAAGTTCCACTGGTTAATCACATTGGGTTCCCCATGAAGTTGCCATGTTTGAAAGGATGCCCGGTTTCAGACGCACCTGTACACATCACCCAAACAGCTTCTCAGCATGATATGGCATGATGTCCCAACAACCATTTGGAGGTTGCGTTCAAAATCGCAAAAATGAGACCTTTACCAGGCTTGGAATGCAGTTGGAGGGGCAGTGAAATGTGCCATCCAGTGAAGTGTGGTCATCCACATCCCCAAAAAAAAAAACTTTGGGATCCTTTGGGAGGGTTTTCCAGCACAACTTGGGTAGATGGCTAGGGTTTATTTTGAGTTTACCAGTTTACCTCTCTCTCTCTCACATCGCACAAACAGTCGTTGCGCTGGACCGTCGGCTGACCAGCTTGTGTGAGCCAACTGTACAACTAAATATTAACAAGCGCGCAGCCAGAATGTGGGGTATGATAGATTTGGAAGTGACGTCACATATTCCCGAAAATGGGACCTTTACCAAACTCTATGGTGTAGCTTGATGTCGAAGTTCCGGGATTGTTCTGATTGTTGGGATATCTGCATCAGAACTGATGCTGCTTGGAGCCTGTTCACAGGAAAGATCTTATATTTCTTATATTGAAAGCAAGGAGTGGATGCAGCACATCTTGCTAAACATCTTCAACTTGCCATCTTGGGTGCACGTGAGGACTGTCTACAGTCTACAAGAACGAACACAAGTATACCCGCCCCTTGTGCCAACCCTGCCAAGCAACAGCACATTGGGATCCAACGAGAAATCGCCTGGCTCATCATTCACGATCTCAACATCTTCCGCGGCAGAGGCAATGCGATTCAGGAGCTCGCCCATTGCCTGGAAGACTGGAAGGTGAAGCGCCAGTGGATGCATGTTTTGTGGCTAGTACCCTCCGCCAAACTAACATATGGATACATTTGGAAAATCCACCAATTGCAGATCATTTCCTAGGAAACCCATGGATTTCCATAGCTCTGTTAGTTTGCTTGAGGGTAATAATGGTTGCACCTGAACTCCAAGGAGATTCCCCGAAGGACTTCCTAATTACAAACCATCGTTGCCAACCACATCTAAATGGGATGATGCCCAAGTGTCACCCTTCAAACCTTGTTTCTTCGTCCTAACGTCCACCCCCAACATGTGCCCAACCCCTCACGTCACAAGCTGCCTTTGAGCCTTTGGGGCTCTTTCCAGCCGTACTCAATTGGGGGTTACTTGTGGGTTTACCACATTGAATACCACCCATAGCACAAATCCCCAAAATGATTTTCTTTCTCCATCGCCATCTCTATATACCCCCAAAAAAAAACTGATCCATTTTTTTCCCCATTGGGGGGGGGATGATCATCCTGGTTTCCCACACTACATTCAGAAACTTACCCCCCCAAAAAAAAAGAAAAAAAAAGCACTGCAGCTTCGGTGCCGACTCCCAATCCAGCTCTGGATAGATGTCCGCTGCCACGAGGCACAGGGCCTTGCAGAAGAAGTCGTAGGTCAAGCGCTTCCCGCCGTAGTCCGTGTCGTGCAGCACCCGTTGGAAGATGATGTCGGCGGCAGCCAGGGAGGACAAACAAGGTCCTCCCAGAGATCTTCAGCTCCCCAGATCATTTTAATCAGCCTAGATCTACGTACATCCAACATGCTGTTTTTATTGCTGGGGGAAGGGATTAAGATGGCGATAAAAGGAAACCCCCTGAATGACGAAAATTCGGGACCAAAAAATATTACTGTTGAATTGTTGCTTTTTGTTGGGGTTGCATGTGATGTCATGTTTGAGCGCGTAATGTTTATTACTTTTCCGCATGTCTGCGAAGCTTCCATCTGCACAATTTATATCTGAATTGACGCCAAGATAATAATCCAAAAATAAGTAATCACTCCTGATCACTCCTGTCAACCTCTTAAAAATCTTCCTGCACCTTTCCTACCCCCAAAGTTCAATCTGCACGCCAGCCCAGTCCTTTGGGCCCCTGGACACGGTCGCTGCTGGCGCGACCAGGGATGAAACCCAGCTCTTTTAGCATCTTTACCCACTTGCCCGAGTGCATCAGTTCCTGGGAGCTCAAATTTCATACATTTCAAGAGAAAATGTGTGGGGAACCATTGGGTTTTCACCCCCAAACATGAGGGTTTCTGTAAATTGTCTCTTCAACGTCTTTCAACCAATTCTATGAATGACTGCGGCCGTTGGCTCAACTGGCACCAAGTGAGGTATGGAACTCAAATCTGGATACATTTTGGGCACTTATCGAACTGCATCATGCCACTTGGGAAGGGAGTGTCCACAACCCTGAACCACCCAGGGCCCTCATCCTAGGTCTGAAGTTTTATGTCTATGTCTCGAGACCAATGGGGGTTCAAATGCGGTAAGGTTGCAGAGACCAACCCAGGCCCAATTTGCCCAGCCAATGCTCAACATTGACTCGCTGTGACGAACTGTTGACAGACAGTTTAAAGTTGGGCATCCACTTCTTAAACATGGGACCATCAAAATGATGGTTCATGGTTGGTGGTGTGCGCCGCCCATCCCCAAAAAATTTCATGTCGTCAATTCCTACTCCTACTCCTACTCCTCCTACTCCTCCTACTCCTCCTACTACTACTACTACCACTACCACTACCACTACCACTACCACTACCACTACCACTACCACTACCACTACCACCAGCGGCGTTCTATTTTTTTTGGCTACATCAAAATCCCCATGTTTATCGGCAAACTTCACTTTGATAAGCCATGATAACCCTATTAAGCCCTATTAAGCCACGTTAAGGCATCCATTTGGGCAGATGTGAAATCCATGGCCAAGGCTCGGTGTTCAAACGCTCACCATAGCTGCAATGGCGCGCAAACTCTCCACGGAGCACCTAGAAACATGTACATCTACAGGCCTATTTATATGCACCTCCATCTCTCTCAGACGCCATGGGCACAAACATGTGTATATATATATATATTGATTGATTGATTCATTCATTCATTCATTCATTCATTGATTGATTCATTGATTCATTGATTCATTGATTCATTGATTCATTGATTGATTGATTGATTGATTGATTGTTATATTGTTATATTGTTATATTGTTATATTGTTATATTGCTGTATTGTTATATTGTTATATATATATACACATCTACATCTACATCTACATCTATATCTATCTTAGGTACCTATACTTTGAACTATGGTTGGTTGTGTTTGATTTCTATGTGAGATCCCAGGAACAAAGACTTTGCTGACTTCGCTTGGTTGGCAGTGCTGATTCCCTGCCTCATCGTACTCCTCAGGCACCAACACTTCCGGAGGCGAAGCTAAAACCTGGCGCGACGGAGGCTGCTGATGGAGGCAGACTCAAGTCCCTCCAAAAATGAAAATGTGCCATATTGTGCCATCATCAAAAGATGGTACGGAAGGGGAATCCTTGCATTGGTAATCCCAATTGATGGATTGATGACCATCCCCCTATATGATCAATTTACCCAAGTGTTGACCATGGCACACATGGACATAGCTTCTCATCGCTTATCGACCAGGAAACCTTTGTGTGAGGCCACTCTTTGGATTTCTTGGACATGACATGCCCAAATTTGACAACCCTAAATAAGCCCCAAACCAAGGTCACCGAGTGATTTGGAAACTATAACAGCGGATTTGGAAACTATAACAGCGGATTTGGAAACTATGATTTGGAAACTATGATTTGGAAACTATAACAGCGGATTTGGAAACTGGGAACAGCTGATTTGGAAACTATGATTTGGAAACTATGATTTGGAAACTATAACAGCGGATTTGGGAACTGAGAACAGCGGATTTGGAAACTATGATTTGGAAACTAAGACACGTGATTTGGAAACTATAACAGCGGATTTGGAAACTATGATTTGGAAACTATGAGGTGTGATTTGGAAACTGGGAACATCAGACTTGGAACCGTGATTTGGAAACTATGAGGTGTGATTTGCAAACTGGGGACAGCGGATCCCGGAACTGCCAAATCTTTTCAACCTTTTACCGCCATTGCTGCAGAAGCTTGGAACACAAAAAGGAATCGTGATAAGAAGTCTTGGAGAGGGGAGACTGTGAAGTTGAGAATACTCTTGCATGTAAGGTTTGGGGGGGAAGTTTTAAAAATGACTTGGAATCGTGACAAGAAGTCTTGGAGAGGGGAGACTGTGAAGTTGAGAATACTCTTGCATGTAAGGTTTGGGGGGGGAAGTTTAAAAAATGACTTGGAATCGTGACAAGAAGTCTTGGAGAGTGGAGACTGTGAAGTTGAGAATACTTTTGCATGTAAGGTTTTAGGGGGGGAAGTTTTAAAAATGACTTCGTATCGTGACAAGAAGTCTTGGGGAGGGGAGACTGTGAAGTTGAGATTACTCTTGCATGTAAAGGTTTAGGGGGGGAAGTTTAAAAAATAACTTGGAATCGTGACAAGAAGTCTTGGAGAGGGGAGACTGTGAAGTTGAGAATACTCTTGCATGTAAGGTTTAGGGGGGGGGAAGTTTTAAAAAATGACTTGGAATCGTGACAAGAAGTCTTGGGGAGGGATGACTGTGAAGCTGAGAATACTCTTGCATGTAAGGTTTAGGGGGGGGGAAGTTTAAAAAATGACTTGGAATCGTGACAAGAAGTCTTGGAGAGGGGAGACTGTGAAGCTGAGAATACTCTTGCATGTAAGGTTTAGGGGGGGAGTTTTAAAAATGACTTGGAATCGTGACAAGAAGTCTTGGAGAGGGGAGACTGTGAAGTTGAGAATACTCTTGCATGTAAAGGTTTAGGGGGGGAAGTTTAAAAAATGACTTGGAATCGTGATAAGAAGTCTTGGAGAGGGGAGACTGTGAAGTTGAGAATACTCTTGCATGTAAGGTTTGGGGGGGGAAGTTTAAAAAATGACTTGGAATCGTGACAAGAAGTCTTGGAGAGGGGAGACTGTGAAGTTGAGAATACTTTTGCATGTAAGGTTTTAGGGGGGGAAGTTTCAAAAAGTGACTTCGTATCGTGACAAGAAGTCTTGGGGAGGGGTGACTGTGAAGTTGAGATTACTCTTGCATGTAAAGGTTTAGGGGGGGGAAGTTTAAAAAATGACTTGGAATCGTGACAAGAAGTCGTGGAGAGGGGAGACTGTGAAGTTGAGAATACTCTTGCATGTAAAGGTTTAGGGGGGGGGAAGTTTAAAAAATGACTTGGAATCGTGACAAGAAGTCTTGGGGAGAGATGACTGTGAAGCTGAGAATACTCTTGCATGTAAGGTTTAGGGGGGGGAAGTTTAAAAAAGTACTTGGAATCGTGACAAGAAGTCTTGCAGAGGGGAGACTGTGAAGTTGAGAATACTCTTGCATGTAAAGGTTTAGGGGGGGAATAGTTTCCTAATCGTAGTTTCCTAATCGCGCGGAATAGTTTCCTAATCGTAGTTTCCTAATCGCGCGGAATAGTTTCCTAATCGTAGTTTCCTAATCGCACGCAATAGGTTCCTAATCGTAGTTTCCTAATCGCACGCAATAGGTTCCTAATCGTAGTTTCCTGATCGCGCGCAATAGTTTCCTAATCGTAGTTTCCCAATCGCGCGGAATAGTTTCCTAATCGTAGTTTCCCAATCGCGCGGAATAGTTTCCTAATCGTAGTTTCCTAATCGCGCGGAATAGTTTCCTAATCGTAGTTTCCTAATCGCACGCAATGGTTTCCTAATCGTAGTTTCTTAATCGCGCGGAATAGTTTCCTAATCGTAGTTTCCCAATCGCGCGGAATAGTTTCCTAATCGTAGTTTCCCAATCGCGCGGAATAGTTTCCTAAGCGTAGTTTCCTAATCGCGCGGAATAGTTTCCTAATCGTAGTTTCCTCATCGCACGCAATAGTTTCCTCATCGTAGTTTCTTAATCGCGCGCAGTAGTTTCTAAATCGCGCGGAATAGTTTCCTAATCGTAGTTTCGTAATCGTAGTTTCTAAATCGCGTATAGTTTCCTAATCGTGCAATGTCCCCCAAACCAACCCTAAAACCGACCCAACAAAAAGAGAATCCAAGTGAGGGAAAAAACGACACCCTATGACCAACATGTCTTGAAGCCGCCTGTTTTTCGAAGTCCTGCTTGTCAGTGTTCCGTTTCAAGTGCTTCATCAAGCCTTGGTAGATCGAAGTGCTGATCTGGAAGAATACTTGGACACCAAGGTATGCTCGTAGTACCCTAAAATAGACAGAAACGGATGGAGCCGGAGCCCTCCTGTTTCACAGGTTTTTCCTTTCCCATGTATTGTGAGGACGATGACGGGTTAGCATTTGCGCTCATTTCACTCCTGGCATGGGAAGAACACAAATAATTATCAACAGATTGCAGCATTAGGCTGAAATATGGCAGATTTTGGTTGAGATGACTGGGATGTCTTCCAGCAAGGAACCGTCAAAGCGCTTGATGATCATGGGGTCTAGGAAATGGCTGTGCGCTGCCAGCTCTTCCGCGGCTGTGGGCACATGGCGTGAAGCAAAACGCCTTGGAGAGTAAGACCTTGCACAGGGCAGCACCAAAAAGGACAGGCAAAAAGATGCAAAAAGTACCACTCCCCTCCAGCATCCCACCTGCCATGGTTCGTAGACTTGGGCGTGGGCGACAGCGAGGCGGAGCGGCTGTGGCGCGACATCAGGGTCCCCGTGAAGAGGCCGCTGGAGGCCAGCGAGGCTCTCGAAAGGCTGCCCCGCATCGAGGCGCCGCGCCGCGGCGCCTCCCCCATATGCTCGGAGGAGGCACGGATCATGGCCCCGAAAAGGCCCCGACAAAGCTGGGGAGGGCCGGAGAGGCCGGGGAGGCCGGGGAGGCTGGGGAAGGGGCCCCGGCCCCGAGATAAAGTTGTGAGTTGAACGAGCCAAAGTGGCAACTGCAATGGAAATGGAACTGTATCAAACATTGTCAAATTGCTTGGTTTGAGCAAGTTGTCAGTGAATGAAGGCTGGTTGGATCCATGTGTCATTTCCACGTGTCTCCTTCATTCACTACTGTCTGGCATGACCAATTTGACTGACAAAGCTTGGAATGGGCAAACACTGGGTTTGCCACTGTCCTCGCATATACACGTAACCAAGCATGAAGGCCTGCCAAGTTGAATGACCCTTCATGGCAGTGTGTGACGTCTTCGATCTCATTGCACATGCGGTTGCGTACTTTCGTTAATTGTTTCCAATTCTAATCACTCTAGCTGTCAAACTCCAAGCGCAAATGCTGCCGCCCATGGATGCCCCATCCCAGAATATCTGCCTGATGCAGCATCTGAAATTGAGACAGGCCTCCGCAAATGATTTGTGGCCGCGAGACAACAGCAAAACTGCACCCACCAAAAAGGACCTTCTTACAACTCTTCAAATGTAAATTTCCGGGGGGGACCACGCTCAGCTCAGGTTCAAGCCTCACAAAAAACCTTTGAACATCAAAACTATGCCAAATATATACAGAAAACGAAGGTTCTGTGAAATGTAATGTGATGCTACGTCACCTTTATGTTATGTGCATGGCACTGTCATGTTGTCTATGCGAATATGAGTGTGATAGTGATAGTGATGGTGTGCGTGTGACATCTCGACAGATGTAAAGCTTGTGTTTTCATGCAGGGGGGGCAGCGCACGACTGACAGACACTGCCCAACGAAGACACTGTCAGCTCGTGGTCGTATGGAGTCTGATCAACTCCGCGTACCTGCTACCAATTTTCATTTACACTTCATTTTCTGGGTATGGGATGTGGCTAACCCAAGAACCGCCTTGCCGTTCCGTTTGCCTTTCCAACTTTGCTGCACCTTGTTTGTCGGCTTCAATTTTCGTCGAATCTCAACAGTTGGATGATGGAAACTTTCTATTTTTGGGTGGCGCAACTCAAGGCTGGTGAACTTTTCCTGGCGATGGGGGTGGTTACTACAACTTCGTCTTTGACGACTCTTTGGAATGAAAGGGGAAGGGTCAGCTTCCATTCTCAAATCTCTTCCTCCCTGATCAAGATATAATGGAGTGGTTTTGCACGTCCGATGCATTCCACATCGCAATTCGATAAGACAAGTCCGGGCAAGTGCGTGTCTGTGCGCACATGTGCACTATTATATACATTCATATACACATGCATTCATACACGTAAAAATATATGCAAACACACATCTATAGTGTAGCAGATATGTGTGCATCTTAGCTATGCATCTATCTCTCCATCCATCAAGTGCTTCAATGGTTTCCCCATCTTCCCACCTCGTCAGCTGCATGGAATTCTGTTGGCCTTGTTGCCCCATGGCTGTGGATGGCCGCAGGGCGGCCTCCCTTGGCGCGCGTCAGCGGCTAAGACCCTTGAGGGACCTTCTTTGAAAGGTTATGGCTGTGTTGAAAAATGTGGGATGCCTTGGGATACCCATAAAATTGCAGTTTGAATGGGGAAATGATGAACAACCATTGGATGGTTGGGCGAAAATCAGAAACTGGAGAGGCTGGGTCAGTTCGACTAAGAACCTGCCCATTTTGAACCATTGAGGTGGTGAGATTACTGCGCCCAAAGCTCACCCATCATTTCTGATGCTCCGGCCATGGGTTTCTAGAAATCACCTAAATACTTGGCGGGTTTTTTTGGTTGCTCAACTTAGATACCCACTCTCCCCCTGTTTTTGGGCAAAATCTCCTCAGTTATCTCATGGTTGCTGGTAAAATTTCCAACTTTTCTGATAAATCTCCAATTTTGGCTGGTAGATCGAGTTTAGCTGGCACCTCTCCAACTTGAGCTGGTACATCTCCACTTCTTCTACATTTCCCAATCGTTGTTGGTTTCTTCCCCACTTCAAGGCATCCGCACGGCGGCGGCGTGGCTGGTGGCGCAATAGTCTCCACCAAGCGTGGCCTGGGGACTTGAACCATCACAAACATTCTGGGTATGACTGATTTAAAAGGGATATAATGGTTGCACTCACATATATATATATATACACACACATACATACATGTGTACACATATTCAATCAATCATATATATATATATGCGTGTGTGTGTGTGTGTAAGTGTGTTTGTGTGCATTTGGGGGATGTATAATGCTGGACGAACCGTTGAAACTATGGAATGTTTCATTGGGAACAAAATGAAACTTTAATCAGCAAGCAATAATTTCGCAAAGACTTTCACAAGCGAAATGGTGGAAATACTGTTGACAAATCAAAAGTCGACTTCAGCAAACAAAATGGACAGTTATACCCACAAATATATATATATATATATTATGTGCGTGTATACATGTATATCAGTATGTATAGATACACCCACATTTTTTCACAAAGTAGGATTGGACAAACGAAAATTTGACACTTTTAATTTGGTGCCTATGACTCTCCATCCTTTGGGAACAAAGGATGGACGATGGGATCATCGATGGGAATCCGACGGTGCAGTCGAAGGCCGTTCATCTTCTTTCTTCCTTGGCGCTGTGGGATAACACCGCCATGGATGCTTTGCAATTGCTGTTCTGAGACTTTACATTGTGCAGGCATGAATTATGATTGAAATAAATACTCTAAAATGCATGGATTTTATAGATTGATTAATCAATTGTTTGGTTTGCGTTAGGAAAAATCTATATATATATGTGTATATATATATATACATATACACATACATTATTATACATGTGCGAGTGTGGGTGTGGGTGTGAATGCAACAGTGCTGTGACCGCAGTTCCTGATCAGTCGGGAGCTACACCATTGTTTTGTTTAGGAAGCGACGGCGCTGACGGGAACTGAACGAATGGCCCCAGGAATACCACGAATCCAGACCACATGAACAGGTCTAGATCCAGATCAAAGCTATTCGTGAAGGCAATGAAATGGCCCTGTATCCCAAAACCAATCAGAAGAACAGGCATCTAGATCAAAACATCTCCCAAACCACAACTTGCAAATGTATGCAACTAGTTCCAGGCCTCACCAGATTCAAATGCTGTGGTGCTTCCAGCCTACACTTTGATCTCGTCACAATTGTCAGGTTGAGACCCTGACCCCAGCTCGAAATCGCGCAAGCTCGCCTCAATCAGGGCTGAGATCAAACTTTGGGATGCCCAAACTGCTTGGTGGCAACCCTGGAAATATGAGTCAAGACTGGGATCATCAGCACACAAGCAGCAGCAGCAGCATCATCATCATCATCATCAGCAGCAGCAGCAGCACATCTTTAATGAAAAGTCATGGCAAGAGAAAGAAATCGTTGAAACCACCAGCCGGGTTGGACCCTGCAAATCCACAGCTCACCCAACGGTGACTTTAGAGGCACCATGGGCCCTGCAATTGAAGTCTTGAAGTCAACAATCTCTGAAGCCACAAAGCTACCCAGAAATGCGACTCAATCAGACTTCCATTTCCCAAGCAGAAAGGAAGAAAATCATCTTAGAAAGCGCATTTTTGGGGGGTCCAGGTCAAACTTAGGGTGTTGAGGCCCCACGCCATGATGTCCAACGAGCTGCTCTCTGATCACAAACTCGGGCTGTTGAGCCAAACGACCGGGGCCAGGCCACAGTTGCAGCACGGAGCTTTGGCACATACATGACATAGACATTGACTACATTGACTACAGTGACTACAGGCACCGAAACCGAAGTGTCACCAACCTCATGTCTTGTTTCTTGGTGCCCTCTACGTACACAGGTCCGCTCGATGTCATGGCGGCAACCACCTAGACTCTGGACAGTCATCTGCAAATGCCACTGCAGAATTGGCCAGGACAAGCACGCACTGGAGCACATATCTGGAATGTAGTTTGTAACCTTTTCGAGTCTTCAAAATGAAGCAGACATCCAGTGTTTTCTTGGCTGTTCATCTGCACGAGCCACATTGTATCGCGGCAGTGGCACACCTTTTCTGAGCGGATGCGGGGCTGTTTTCTGCGGCATTGCGCCGAGGTTGCGAACAGTCTTTGGGCGCCACGGCGGGCAACAAAACTTATCTGGCTGGCGGTTCCAATCCGACCTTCAAAACTGCTGGGATCCCAATCCAGTCACAACATGTCACAACCCACAAACAAGGTCAAATCAAAAAACATACCAAAAAAAAACGTGGTTGTCAAAATTGAGTCATCAGCATCCTGCTAGTTTCTGGTTCAAAACCACCATCCAGTGGTACCCCTCTTTGGCGAGGCTCAAAGCTCATCGCTGGGAGACACAAAAGCACTGAGTCGGTTCACCTGCCGGATGGGTGATGTGGGTTACATCAGTTTAGGGTGCCTCCTATGCGGTATCGGAACAGAAGTCCTTCCATGGTTGGTCCTTATATTTAGCAAAAACACGCAGACCATAGCCGCTAGCCATACCTCACATCCCCCTGCATTGAAAAAGCGGTTTGATTTTAAATGCTTGCTTGGTGCTCCGGAGGCAATTCCTGATGTCACACAATCAAGGGCTTGATGTTGGCACTTTCAGCTTAAAAGTTGCTCCTTATCATGTTCATGGCACGTTGTGAATGGCATCGCTATTGTGATCACAAACATGTCAATCACAGATAGGCCAAGAACGAAGCAGTATAACAGTGAAACAAACACGCTCGGGTAATCAAAAGTCCCAGTCAAATGGTCTTTCTCTCGAGAGGGAAGCCTCTCTTCCTGAATTTGGTGCCTGACTTCGGTAATTCGAAAGTGCAAACCGAGAGAGGAGAGGGAGGGAGGGAAGGGAGGGAGGGAAGGGAGGGAGGAAGCGAGAAAGAGAAAGAGAAAGAGAGAGAGAGAGAGAGAGAGAGAGAGAATATGAATATGAATATGAACAAGAATATGAATATGAATATGAGAGAAAAGAAACTTGCTTGGGTATACAAGGACGAGCATATTGTTAATGTAGTGGTACCTACACGCACATGCATATATATATGTGGCAGGGACCTTTGGGGTCTATTTCGTTCGTTGGCCTAGAAAGGCATCTTCTTCAATCTAATGAGCGCTACAGCAAACATTTGTATAATCGCGCGAGACTTTCCGAAGCGCTGGACGTTGATCGGAGACAGTAACTGGGATGGGAGGGTGGGACTGTTAAACACATGTACTGGCTTGCTCGTTGCTGCGCCCTTGCTGCAAAGCTCAGATGAAGGGCTGGGCACGCAGAATCTTTTGAAACTGAACATGTTCATCCACAACCTCCTGCAGCGCTCTGCGTGGATATAACGTTTTGGTTTCTTCATCCATGGGTATGGGATGGATCTGTTGCAGCCTCCATTTCCACGGTGGTGACTTCAATGGGCGGGAAGGCTGGGCGGGAAAACTGCTTCAAGTTTGCTGAAAAAGTTCCGCCAAAGGCTGGGCACTTTCTAGTACGGAACATGTTTAAACACAACCTCCAGCAGCGCTCTGCGTGAGCATGACGTTTTGGTTTCTTCATCCGTGGATATGGGATAGATCTGTTTCAGCCTCCATGTCCATGGTGGCGACTATGGACGGGAAGGCTGGGCGGAAAACTGCTGCACGCTTGCTGAAAAAGCTCTGCCAAAGGTTGGGCAGACAAAATATCGACTTTTTCAACGGAACATGTTTACCCACAACCTACTGCAGCGCTCTGCGTGAGTATGACATTTTCGTTTCTTCATTCATGGATATGGGATGGGTTGTTTCAGCCTCCATGTCCGTGGTGGCAGCAATCATGGATGGGAGGGCGGGGTGGGAAAACGGACGTGCTGGCTTGTGTGCTGTTGGGCGATTGCTGATGGTTGGGCACGCGAAGCTCCTTGTCAACGCTTCGTTAACCCGACAACGCGGTCCATATTGGAACAAGCCAGGCAACACCAACCACAGGCCCCAATCGTGCCTCCTCGATTGCAGTGAACCCTTGCAAGCCTACCAGGGCACTTGGTGAGACTGTTGCAAAAACTAAACAAGGAAGGTGGCACAGGACTTGCATCGCTTCGGACTTGCAAACACATCTTCAACACACATGTCACATATGCATGAACAGAGGCTTGGACTTTCTTTTCTCCAATCCGATGCACTGCTGCACGCTATCGTCGAAGCCTTTTCGGCTTGACGCCGGAAGATCGAATCGAGTGCACACGTTTGACAGAGTGGACTGTCCTCTTTCCGCGTCTCTTCATGGGGATTGTTTGCTTCCACTTCTGTACCTTTCTGGCTTCCGCTTGCCGCGCCCGATGCAAAGGTACAGGTGCCTTGGCAGACGAGCAACAGTTTTGCCAGGTGGCATCGGTCCAGACATCAGTGGCCACTGCCCGCGCAAGCAGGACAGCTTCTGAAGTCTGCTGCGCCGTAGGAAAACACGAGGCGACATGATGGGCGAGCACCTTGCCAAACTGCATAATTTCAAGCTTCTGCCGCAGTGTGCTCTGGTGCAATGAACGGATGGACTTAGTCCACGAATTTATCTCGGCATGAAGGGACTCATTAGAGGACGTGCCGCTTGGCAGCAACCCCCGCTCTAGAGGGGTTAGATCGTGCCGCACACGGAGGTTGTTCATCAGCCATTCCAATCTATCTGGTGCTGTGGCTGCCCAAAGAACCTTCCTAATTTCTTTGTTGGAGCCTGTCACTTTACGGCTCACCTCATGTGGGTACGTTGCACAAAGGGCGGCTAATGCCTCAATGAAGGTGATTCGGCAGAACAAAGGCGAATCTGGATGAAGGTTGTCCAGGATGCGTTTGGCCCTGGTTGCGCCCATGCTGCCGTCAGTGATGAGATGTCGTGCCCGCTCTTCATCGCGAGTCAGGCTTGGCGGTGCGGTGCCAGTGAAGAGGGGCCCCCAAGAGCTGGAACGCATGTTCGGGGCTACCTGGTTCATCTTATGTAGCAAACACCGTAGAACTTTCGATCCAGCCGTCTTCTTCCCCCACTGGGCATATTCGTAGACAATGGCCAGATGAACAGGATCCAAGGAGAGGCAGCTCAGGTTTGGGCAGATCTCTTTCAACTCGCGGAAGAGCTTAGGAGAGGGGTTGTCCGTAGCTAAATATCGAACCTGGAACAATGCCTGGTTGGAGAAAAGATTGCGCAGAGATTCCTTGATCTTTGGTGACTCTTCACTCGGAACAGGAACCATGCCTAAGACGGCACCGGTACGCCCCCTGATAGTCAGCACCCTTCTCAAAGAATGCTCATCATCAAAGCAAGCCGCATTTCGGGTTTGGGCCGATGCTCTATAGTTTGCTTGTCCCTGCACAGTCATGCAGACTTTGAGTGTAGCATCAATGGACAAGCACAAGAATTCCTGACTGTGTTCCAAAGTTTTGAAGATGGAGCTCTTCAAGCTTTGGACTTGATAGGACATGTAGATGTCCTCCACAAGAGGCCACCAATGACGTGTATGGGAAGGGTACAAGTTCCCAAGCATGTTGCCGGCTTCCAAAGCCCGCAAATGTACACGAGGCCAAATGCTCTTGACCTCAGAAAAGAACTATGAACATCATTTCAAGGCATGGTTGACACCGTAAAAAAATATGATCCTGCTCTGACACAAGTTAAAACGATGACATTGCACGTGCATGTTCTGCTGCTGCCAAGGAACACTCGAATGGTGCAAGACAATTTCCCTGTAGACCATTTCGGCAAAGGATTTGTCGTAATAGATGTTCAACACTCTGCGGGCAACGATTTGTTCTCCAAGGGCCTTTTGGTTGACATATCTTGGACCGTCTTTCTCTAGCAGCAGAGAGGAGGAACCACTTGAGTTCTAAGGACATGGCACTGCGAAACAAGTAGTCTGCACCGTTCTCTTTGCGGACAGAATCTGAATCGTGCAAGGCCAAAATCACTTTTAACTGCTTCTTTCCTGAGCACACAAACTGCTTGGCGGCGACATGATGGCGCCTCAGGTGATCAGAGAGCTGGCACAATCGACCAAAAGCTCGGAAAGGGCAGAAAGGGCAACAGTATGCACCGTGCATCTTCCGAATGTTGTTGTGCTCAATTTCTTCCATGAAAGCATGAACTTCCTCCTCCAAGGAATCTTTGATGATGTCTTGGAAAGTGATTTGGCCCTCGTCGTCGATCACGAAGCGGGGCTCTGCTGGCTCTCCGCCCTCGTCATCGTCGTCAGAACTTGCACCGCCTTGCTTATCATCTGAGCTGCCGCCTTGAACATCATGACCCTGTTTGAATTCCCGAAGCTTCTGTCTGCACAGCATCACCTGCGACTCCCAAGTCCTCTTGCTTATCCCCCCATCGCATGGGTTGGGAATCTCACCCAAGAAGTCTGAGGCATGCAATGTATCACAATGATTCCTGAGCATAGATATGTACACCCTCAATCTTTTTTCTACGCGGGTGACCAGCGCAGAATCTTGAATACTCCGCTACCAGCTCCCCTACCAGCTCCGCTACCGACATGCAACAGCAGCAACACCAGCCCCACATCCGATATAATTCGGTGACCGATAAGGCTCCCTTTTCGCAACTTTTTAGGGTGGGTGGGTTCTAGCTTGTAGCCAAAACGACAACTGCCCTAACAGAGCTGTTATACCTCTCTTGTTTGTCGGCCTTTTGGTTTCTCATAGACCATCTCCAGCAGACAGTTCGGCCGTGTTGCCCAAAGCAAACAAAGGCACCATCAAGCAATCAAGCATGTGATTCCCTCCCGCGACACCAGCTAGGAATACTCCGCTACCACCTCCCCTACCACCTCCTCTACCGACATGCAACAGCAGCAACACCAGCCCCACATCCGATATAATTCGGTGACAGATAAGGCTCCCTTTTCGCAACTTTTTAGGCTGGGCGGGTTCCAGCTTGTAGCCAAAACGACAACTGCCCTAACAGAGCTGTTATACCTCTCTTGTTTGTTGGCCTTTTGGTTTCTCATAGACCATCTCCAGCAGACAGTTCGGCCGTGTTGCCCAAAGCAAACAAAGGCACCATCAAGCATGTGATTCCCTCCCGCGAAACCAGCTAGGAATACTCCGCTACCAGCTCCCCTACCAGCTCCGCTACCGACATGCAACAGCAGCAACACCAGCCCCGCATCCGATATAATTCGGTGACAGATAAGGCTCCCTTTTCGCAACTTTTTAGGGTGAGTAGGTTCTAGCTTGTAGCCAAAACGACAACTGCCCTAACAGAGCTGTTATACCTCTCTTGTTTGTCGGCCTATTAGCTTCTCACGCAGCATCCGTCAGTCTAGATTGTACAATGAAACATGAATGGTCCCTGCCAAATCAATAATATGTCATATGTACTATGCCATCATATTTCAAAGGTTTTCTGTTTTAGAAAAAGAACTATATATTATAATATGTTAATGGGAAAAATGCAAGCCAAGAACAAGAATATACAAAAAGGTACAACCAGAAGCTTAAAAAACAAGCTTAAAAATGTTAAAAGGTAAGTCCAGCAAAGCAAATACAAAGGCAAAAGCCAAGAAGCAGGCGCAAAAACGAAGACACAGACGCAAAGGCCCAGAAGCAAGCGCAAAAGCCAAGAGAAAGGCGCAAAGGCCAAGAGACAGGCGCAAAGGCCAAGAAGCAGGCGCAAAAACGAAGAAACAGATGCGAAAGCCAAGAGGCAGGCGCAAAGGCCAAGAGACAGGCGCAAAGGCCAAGAGACAGGTGCAAAGGTCAAGAGACAGGCGCAAAGGCCACGAGACAGGCGCAAAGGCCAAGAGACAGGCACAAAGGCCAAGAGACAGGCGCAAAGGCCAAGAGACAGGCGCAAAGGCCAAGAGACAGGTGCAAAGGCCAAGAGACAGGCGCAAAGGCCAAGAGACAGGCGCAAAGGCCAAGAAGCAGGCGCAAAACCAAGAAACAGCCGCGAAATGTAAGAAGCAGGCGCAAAGGCCAAGAGAAAGGCGCAAAGGCCAAGAGAAAGGCGCAAAGGCCACGAGACAGGCGCAAAGGCCAAGAGACAGGCGCAAAGGCCAAGAGACAGGCGCAAAGGCCAAGAGACAGGCGCAAAGGCCAAGAGACAGGCACAAAGGCCAAGAGACAGGCGGAAAGGCCAAGAAGCAGGCGCAAAACCAAGAAACAGGCGCAAAGGCCAAGAGAAAGGCGCAAAGGCCAAGAGAAAGGCGCAAAGGCCACGAGACAGGCGCAAAGGCCAAGAGACAGGCGCAAAGGCCAAGAGACAGGCGCAAAGGCCAAGAGACAGGCGCAAAGGCCAAGAGACAGGCACAAAGGCCAAGAGACAGGCGGAAAGGCCAAGAAGCAGGCGCAAAACCAAGAAACAGCCGCGAAATGTAATCCTTTTTAATCCGTTTAATCCTTTTAATCCTTTTAATCCCCCAGAGATCTGGAGTCTAAGGCCCAAGCATTGGATTAAATAATTTAATCCTTTTAATCCTATTAATCCCCCAAAGGCTCTGGAGGATTAAAAGGATTAAAAGGATTAAATGCTTGGTCCTACATTGGGGTTCTGGGGGCTCTGGAGGATTAAAAGGATTAAAAGGATATTAAAAGGATAAAAGGGATATTAAAAGGATTTAATCATTTAATCCTTTTAATCCATTTAATCCCCCAAAGGCTCTGGAGGATTAAAAGGATTAAAAGGATTAAATCATTTAATCCTTTTAATCCTTTTAATCCTCCAAAGCCTCTGGAGGACTAAAAGGATTAAAAGGATTAAATGCTTGGTCCTCACATTGGGGTTCTGGGGGCTCTGGAGGATTAAAAGGATTAAAAGGATTAAAGGGATTAAAAAGGATTAAATGATTTAATCCTTTTAATCCTTTTAATCCTTTTAATCCCCCAAAAGCTCTGGAGGATTAAAAGGATTAAAAGGATTAAATCATTTAATCCTTTTAATCCATTTAATCCCCCAAAGGCTCTGGAGGATTAAAAGGATTAAAAGGATTAAATCATTTAATCCTTTTAATCCGTTTAATCCCCCAAAGGCTCTGGAGGATTAAAAGGATTAAAATCCTTTTAATCCTTTTAATCCCCCAGAGATCTGGAGTCTAAGGCCCAAGCATTGGATTAAATGATTTAATCCTTTTAATCCTTTTAATCCTCCAAAGCCTCTGGAGGATTAAAAGGATTAAATGCGTGGTCCTCACATTGGGGTTCTGGGGGCTCTGGAGGATTAAAAGGATTAAAAGGATTAAAAGGATTAAAAGGGATTAAAGATTTAATCCCTTTTAATCCTTTTAATTCTTTTAATCCTTTTTAACCTTTAATCCTTTTAATCCTTTTAATCCCCCAAAAGCTTGGAGGATGAAAAGGATTAAAAGGATTAAATCATTAATCCTGTTAATCCATTTAATCCCCCAAAGGCTCTCGAGGATTAAAAGGATTAAAAGGATTAAATGATTTGATCCTTTTAATCCTTTTAATCCCCCAAAGGCTCTGGAGGATTAAAAGGATTAAATCATTTAATCCTTTTAATCCTTTTAATCCTTTTAATCCTTTAATAGCCCCAGAGATATGGAGTTAAGGCTCCAAGGCATGGCTTAAATGTTTAACCTTTTAATCCTTTTAATCCTCCAAAGCCTCCGGGAGGATTAAAAGGATTAAAAGGATTTTTAAAGGATGAAAAGGATTAAAAGGATTAAATGCGTGGTCCTCACATTGGGGTTCTGGGGGCTCTGGAGGATTAAAAGGATTAAAAGGATTAAATGATTTAATCCTTTTAATCCCCCAAAGGCTCTGGAGGATTAAAAGGATTAAATCATTTAATCCTTTTAATCCATTTAATCCCCCAAAGGCTCTGGAGGATTAAAAGGATTAAATCCTTAATCATTTAATCCTTTTAATCCTTTTAATCCTTTTAATCCTCCAGAGCCCCCAGAACCCCAATGTGAGGACCAAGCATTTAATCCTTTTAATCCTTTTAATCCTCCAGAGGCTTTGGAGGATTAAAAGGATTAAAAGGATTAAATGATTTAATCCTTTTAATCCTTTTATTCCCCCCAAAGGCTCTGGAGGATTAAAAGGATTAAAAGGATTAAATCATTTAATCCTTTTAATCCTGTTTAATCCCCCAAAGGCTCTGGAGGATTAAAAGGATTAAAAATTAAACATTATTAAATCAATTTAACCGGAACAAAATGGTACCTCTAAAGGTCTCTCGATCATATATATATACGAGTTGTTTTTGGTCACAGTCAGAAATTTAGGAATCTAAAGTATAGGATTCCAATGGCTAAATGTCCCACAGTGTGTGAGTGTGTGTGTGTGAGTGTCCGATGTGCTGTCCATGTAGATTTATTCATACAGTACGTGTAAGAGAGGGAGAGAATGCATCATGTGCATGTCCGTATGCCAACCTCCATGTGCATTCTGAGTGCGTTGTGCAATGATATCCCTTTCGGTCCCCAGAATCCCGCGCCTTCAGCTGCATATCATCCTTCTTGCTTGGGGCCACCTCAGCAGAAAATCGCCAGCATCTCAGCCGCCCTTCCACACTTTGATCATCTTGAATCAGAAGCAACACAGGAATAGGTTTCTCCGAAAATGAAAGACTCCCAATTCCACTGGATTCTAATCATGTTCATTCATTTTCCCATATTTTCCCCCTGTAACCGCCAGAAATGAAGCTATATACCGATGATATACCCAAATGTTATCCCAATTTTTATCCCAAATTTCAGACATCCTCCTGCCTTGCCCCCGCCGATGATCTGCTTCAGCCGGTCGGTCTCAGTCCTTAGATTCGGGGAGTGTTTCCCCCCAAATCATGGGGGACGGAACGACGGAACCACACTGGACAACGGCGGTCTTTTAAAGACCCAGACTTCGCGATATCACCAACAACTATATACAAAATATACAAATGATTACGCAGGAATAATGTGGGCCAAAGAATCTAGAGTTGAAACAGAACGGATCAAAAAAAAGGTCACTAGCAATCTATATCAGCAACAACCACCAACTTTGCAGACCACATCAGATTAACACTTCACACCATAGAACATGCCAATTTACATCCATGTGCAGATTTTCCCATCAACAACTGAGGGGTTCCCAGCCTGCCAGGTCTGATTAATCCCTGAGTCCAAGGTGCTTGAACCAGTCACCCTTCTCTTGTGACTTCTCCATGGCTCTCACGTAGTAAGCCGCTGCATCCTTGTCGGCGCCTGCATCGACCCGACGAGTCTCTGCCATCAACTGCAGAGAATATGTTTTCCCCATGTTACAATGGTTGATCGGGAAATAAACCCCGCGGACCTATACAAGGTGTGCGTTTCAGGCCATTTCCCTTCAAGCTAATTCTGGGATGGGATTCGTGTTGCTTTTTCGCTGAAGGAAGCTGGGGGCATATACCACTGATTTCTCTCTCCTTCTTCTCCCCTTACATCATCGTTCCAGCTTCCATGCAGCAATGGTTCAAACATGCCTTCAAGCGCATCTGCTGCAGCCTTGGCATTCCTCAGCATCACCGATGGATTATCCATGGCCAGGTTGGATTGCCAAACAGAAATTCGAGAAAGGATCATTTCAAATGTGGACTTTGACCCAGTCAAATGCTGACATGTCCAATGGGAAGGAGCCGCAAAATTTTTGAAATCTATGGAAATCTCGGAGCTCACCCCAGATTCCAGAAAGAGATATTAGGGTGGCCGCAGGGATCTCCAAAGATCATGGGCATTTTGATGAAGCAAGTTCGTTACATTATATCACTGTATCGCTTATATAACCATACGTGCCATATCATCCACTCCTGAAAACGAAAGAGCAACAAGAAACATCAGCATCTTTGACTGACCTTTCGTTTAACTTCCATTTCACCCTCAACGCCTGAGCATCACCTTTTTCTTCTCCCCAAGAGCCTTGGACCCTCAGCCCTTTCCAGCCACCCAGCTTTGACTCACTTCACTACGGCAGGATATTGAAATATGACCAACAGCACCTGCCCACAACATGGCAACAAGAAACCCAATCGGAAATTACCTACAAAACTTTACAAAACATGATAACCATGTCTGGTTGGATTGACCCGAACCCACCTCTGGCCAAAGCGTCTTAAGGACTTCTGCCTTGTTTGCCCCCTCTTTTACGAAGTCGGCCGCCAACCTCGGAGGCCCCTACTCTGCCATGGTACCCCCTGGCCGGAAACGTTTGGAAAAGGTGTCAAACCGCTAGCCGCTAGTCAGATTGAGAAGGGTCCCATCCTTGCTGAGTAACTTGTCGAACTCGCGGATAGTACCCTTGAGGCCGAAGTAGATCTTTGCCTCCTCGGGCAAATTTAAGACATCATGTGACCATGACGACACAGGAGCGGCGTTCAAAACATTAAACATGCATATTCTTTCGTGGGTTGTCTCATCTTATCTCCCTGTTTGCTTGGAGTTGCTTCTTTACCTCGCCATTCGGGTGGGGCACCGATTTCCTAGCCAAGCTTTCCTGTCCGGGGCAACTCCTTCTTCAGGTACAACGTCATGGCATCCACCGTCACTGGCCCGGTATACTCCATGTCTGCACCGTTGGTGGGGAAGAAGCGATACCTGGGAAAGATGTTGTCCATGTCACCTGAGCTGTCGGCCGTTTTGGTAAGGGAATCCCAGCAGCCAAGATCAGCATGCCTCAATGCGTCCTGAACAGCCCATAACACCCGTGCAAAGGACCCTCATACGGATATGACTGGGGAAGTTAGTTGCTGGATAGTGACTAGTGCAGAACCCACGCAGAGTGGGTGGTTTACCAAGAGCAACTTTGACTTTGGGGATCATACCAGGACATCCAAATTCCTCCAAAGCGGTCGGTCTAAAGTTGCAGCCACAGGAACTGTATTCCAACTCCTTGTCCGACGGCTTGTAGCCAAACCTTTCCGCCAAATCCTGCGAAAGGACAGGACAAACTCCGGGTACCAACAGCCAGGGACCAACCAATGCACGGCATTGATGCACCAGCCCCCTGCTGCCAGGCCAAAAAGGGCATCGCTGGTTCACCTGGAGACTTTGTTTCTCACTATGACCAAGGCCTGATTCATCTTCTCACCATAGGTGGAGATGCCCACTGTGCCGATGATCACCTCATCTCGGGGTTGGCTGCCGGAGGG